AACAGGACCAATAGTAAATATATGTATATGTGTATGCATACACACACACACAGGTTTATTATAAGGAATTGGCTCATGCATTTATGGAGACTGAAAAGTCCCAAGATCTGCCATCTGAAAGCTGGAGAGCCAGTGGTATAGTTCCAGTCCAAGGCCAGAGGCCTGAGAACCAGGGGAACTGAGAGAATAAGCTCCAGTCTGAGTCCAAAGGCAGGGGAAGACCAATGTCCTCACTCAAAGACAGTCAGAACAAATTCTTCCTTACTCAGTTTTTTGTTCTAGTCAGGCCTTTAAAAGATTAGGTTGATGGCTACCCACACTGGGGAGAGCTATTTGCCTTACCCAGTCTACCCATTCAAATGTTAATCTCATTTAGAAACACCTCCACAAACACGCCCAGAAAAATATTTAATCAGATATCCGGGTACCCTGTGGTTTGGTGAAGACAACACACAAAATTAACCCTAACAGTAGCTTAACTTCTAAATTAGAAACTTCCTACTCCGTCTATTTAGGTCCAAATCCTATCAAGCCAAGTGGATTTTAGGAAGTGTTCCAATTTTTAAAGTTACCATTATTACTAGCTTCAGGCCCAACATTGTAAATTCATGACATACTATCATTTAAAAAATCTTAGGGGCGCCTGGGTGGCTCAGTCAGTTAAGTGTCTGCCTTCAGCTCAGGTCATGATCCCAGGGTCCTGGATCGAGCCGTGGGTTGGATTCCCTGCTCAGTGAGGAGTCTGCGCTCCCTCTCCCCCACCTCCCTTTTGCTCTCAAATAAATAAAATCTTTTTAAAAAATAAAAAAATTTAAAAATCTCAGGAGGTTTTACTATGGATGATTTTACTTCAAGAGAAAAGGTGATGATGAGGCATGTTATATTTAGATTAACTGTGATCCAAGAGAAGCTTGACCAGCAAATCAAATCAAGGCCTTAAAGAAATTAATACAAGCTAATTAAGAACCAAAAATCCCCTGATCTCTTACTACAGGTGAAAGCTGAGCCATCTTTTAGAATTGACTACACTGCTCATCATGGCATCCCAAAGAAGTTCTAGGTCACTGCTTCTTCGGAAAAAGGTTGGCTGAATGAAAAAAAAAAAAAAATATATATATATATATATATCAAACTATGCCCTTTTTTTCTGGGACAAGAGAAGGTGAGTTTCAGAGACTTTCACTATCACAGTTGTACATTAAAGTGAAATATATGTATGCATATGTACACATAGTTGACGCTTGAACAACATAGCTTTGAACTACACAGGTCCACTTATACATGGACTTTTTTTTTCCCAATACAATATAATATCTCTTAAGGCTATTAGTATTTTAAGTTTTGGGGAGCCAAAAGTTATGCTCAGATTTGCAACTGTGGGGGGGATGGTCAGTACCCTAACCCCTGTGTTGTTCAAGTATCAATTGCACATGTATATGTAAATACGGAAGAGAGAGAACAGTGTATAAATAAATAAACTTTCAAATCTTTTCTGAGGCTCCCCCCATTTGAAACTCTTTTATCTTCAGGATCACTCTAAATGTTGGTGGTTTAGGCTGGGAAATAATTTTTCCAACTTAAATGTTTATATTTAGTTCAAAGTGTTCCATTTCCATGGGTAACAGTAACACAAATGGCTTTTCCCTTACCTTCACGGAAAGAAAGCTACTCACAAATGCTTTTCTAGGTTCCCAGTGCTCTGGGAGGCAGTCACAGGGGTTTTTATAAAAAGCCAGAGCAGAGTGATCCAGGGCTCATTATACCAAAGAGGAAGCTGAACACCCATTTTAAATCTTTTGGCCCACACCAAATGTGGATGCCATTGTTTTGGGCCAGTCCCACGTACCACACACACCTCCTGCATGTCTCTTAGAACACACAGCTCCACTCAAAGTGGTTTCTTTCAAGGAGACAGAACACGGGTTTGCTTTTGGGCTGGGTCAACTCTCCCAGGGATCTTCCAGGGAGGAGGGAGGAGGTCAGTCCCCTGAGAGACAAGACTGTGTAGAGCGTAAGAGTATGGGCTTTAGAGCCAGACTTCCTACGTTTAAATCCAGGGTCTAAGGGTTTACGATCTTGGAATGTGAGCAAGTTACATAACTGCTCATGCCTTGGTTCCTTCATCTGTAAAATAGAACAAATAATGGCACTTAGCTGATGGGGCTGCTGTGACGATTAAACAAACATATAAAGTGCTTAGCACAGGACCTGGGATGTAGTAAATGCTCAATAAAACCTAGGGAGTCTGTAGGTCCTGATTCCACCCCCCTGGGATTAACCTAGGTCCCCAGGCACTAATAGGAGTTGTGGTCACTCGCCAGCCATTGGGTAGAAGATATGGTTTTTCTCCCCAACTCCATCACCTGAAACACAGTTGCCTAAAATGAATCTTATTTAACAGAACCTAAAATTTAAACCAGTACAACAGTGAAAAACCTGAGCCACAGCAAGCTTTAAATGTAATCTTGTTAGGGGCACTTGGGTGGCTCAGTCGGTTGAATGTCTGCCTTCGACTCAGCTGGTGATCCCGGGGTCCTGGGATCGAGCCCCCAGAGCCCCCCGCATCGGGCTCCCTGCTCCGCGGCGAGCCTGCTTCTCCCTCTGCCCCTCCCCCTGTTTGTGCACACTCTAATAAATAAAATCTTCAAAAAAATGTAATCTTGTTAAAAGGAAATAAAGAAAGAAAAATATTTGGAAAGGATATTAAGCAACTGATAGATTCCAATGAGTTGAGAGGTTCTTTTAAGTCAGACTTGTATTTCTTGGCTTTTTTTTGGTGTGTGTGTGTGTGTGTGTGTGTGTGTGTGTGTGTGTGTGTGCGCGCGCGCGTTTAAATCCATGCGTCTTTTTTGATAAATATAAAAACCTTATGGTTTCTCTTAACGCTATTTAAAACTTTTACAAAATGGACCAAAAGCAAATCTAAGCAATGTTAATTTAAGAATATACTTGTTCAAAGTACACATGGGCTTTATCTCTAAGAAACGGAGTAGGTGCCCTAGTCCCTTCCTGAAAATCACTGAATTGACCAAAAAGCAGTATCATATAGCCTCAAAGTTTACACCAGACTGGAGGTTGCTATACCGAGTTTATCAAGATGATTTTGCTATAGAAAAGTTTTTTTGGTTTAGTCTATGCAACTGAGAGCCTTTAATCCTATATGACCCACATTTGTCCTCAGAATTGCACATTTGGAAACAATGAAAGATTTACTACCTCCACCTATGGCTTACCCACTGAGAACACTAGAGCAATGAAGGCAAAGTGACCAGATTGGATCACTGTGGAGCTATGATCTGACCAATTCCCAAATAATTTCATGATGCCATTGGAAAGGGAAGGGTTCACAACAGTGGTTAAGGGAAGAGCAGCCTGGGAAGTAGGAGGGCTTGGTAAACAGAAGGGATACTGCTTTCAATTTTAGAAGGACCAAGACACCTCATGTTACTGGAGGCAGTTAACAGAACTGGACAGAGATCTTTCCAGTTAACAGAATTGGGGTAGAATGCAGACTTAATCTTGCAATAAGACAAAAGCCTAGCTGGGAAACTCAAAGAAGAAAATGGAGGTCGTCAGCATTGCATTCTTACAAATTTCTCTATATCCATCTTCACTTTCTTCCTTCTAATATCAGGGAATAACCCATCCCTCTACCCATGCCATGAATCCCACCCTTACTCTCTCCAAAAGCAGCAATCTCTTATATTTTGAAACTCTCCCCCCGTATCGATTCCTTGCCCCTTTTATATTTGTGGAGTGGGTGCAGAAACTAACCTCGACTCTGCTTCCTTCTCTTACTTTCTCATTCAGACATTTCTAAAGTATAGTCCGTACTCACTTTCTCACATTCTTTCCTCTCATTCCTCAGCCCCGTGCAAACCTACTGATCCTATTCTCATGAAAGTCAACCAATAACATCCATGCTGCCGAGTCCATTGTAAGTTTTGTTTTAATCGTGCCAAGTATTTCAATATATTTTGAATTACCTGGAAGAATGCCTGATAAATGAATACCACCATCCTGACTACAGCCTTACAGGATAAAATCTAAGCTCCCTAACAGGGGTGGAAAGCCTTCCATGATCTCACCAACCCCCATTTACCTCATCATGCTTGATCTCCCCACACAATCAGCTGTTTTTCACCTGGGGGTCCCTGCTCAAGCTGTCCTCTCTGTCGGAAAGGCCCTCTCCGCCAACTCCTCTACCCACCCCCCAACCTTTTTAAGAAAGAGATAGCACGAGCAGGGGGAGGGGGAGAGGGAGAGAGAGAGAATCTTAAGCAGGCTCCACGCTCAGCGCAGAGCCCTACACAGGACTTGATCTCACAACCCGAGCCCAAATTAAGAGTCAGACACTTAACCGACTGAGCCACCCAGGCGCCCCTCTACCCCTTTTACTTCACCAACTTCTACTCCCTCATAAATACTCAGATCAGAAGTACTCTCCTCCAGGAGGCCTTTCCGGATATCACCACCCCAATCTCACCCTGGCTGCGTGAGGTACCTCCTTTCGTTCTCGCCTGACATTATTTTTACGTCCTGTTGCTGCACTTACCATTCTGTCCTTAACAAGCTGCTTAGGTCCGCCTCAGCAAGCAGGCTCTAAACTCCCTTAAGACAGGAGCCATCTTCCACAGTCACGTGACGGGAGGGAAAGACCTGCCATCGCATTTGTTCTTCTGCCCTCAAGGGGGATCCTCTTTAGCCCAAGAGGGGATGAGCACAGAATAGTGTGCAAGCAAGGGGATGGCTCTTGTGGCTTTCTATCCTTTTTTCTCTTCCCACATTTCTGACTCTAACTTGGGGCCTTGTGTTGCCATAGTAACCAACAGTCCTGGAACACAGACTTCTGGCAGTTGGACTTGTAGCCACTACGAGTCAGGACCTGAAGGATTTCTAACATCCCCAGTTTCGGGCTCAGGAGCCGGCGGCACCTTTTTCATGTGGGCAGTCACCAGAGCAGGGCATGACAGAGTGTGCGTACGCGTGTGTGTGTGTTATTCTCCCATCCCCACGTACCTACTGGGGCATCACGGAAAAAGCTGCACTAAAAAGTGCCAACAGATGGTGGGAGGATGGGCATCTAAATGGCTATAACCTTCCTGGAAAGCAATTTGATATCAACTCCAGTTTAATCTATCAGTGATCTTTGATCCATTAAAGCCACAGATATATAGAGGGAGACACGAGGATTTATTGATAAGGGGGTTTGCTGAAGATTTATTAAAACAATAACAACCACTTACTGGTCATCAATAAGAAAGTCGTTAAAAATGACAAAATAGCCATATACATGTTTACTGTAGGGTATGCCACAAAATATAATAATCTTAGCTTCAATAGATGATGTGACATCCACATATAAGTATATGTGTGTATGTATATGTACAAATACACGGGTACACATATATGTACGTATAAAGAAAAAGAAAAGGAAATCCACCAAAATGTTTTCAGTGATGGTTATCCGTATCTCTGGACAGGAGGATCATAAGCATATTTAATGTCATCTTCATACTTTTCTGTATTTTTCAAATTTTATACAATGATCATTTTTTCTTTTAAAACGCAAGCTGTTTCAACTGCAGCAAGACAGATGACGAGCGGTGGCAGGTGCAGAGGATTAGTTGAGAGGGTTGCCATACAAAGAAAGACATTTCTTCAAGGGAGGGGGTGGCCTTTTTTGTCCTTCATTAAAGAATACAAAAATAGGAAGAACTTCTACCGGAACGGCATAGTTACAAATAGAAAAAGGAATGAATAATGTTACTGTTTAAGTACCATGACTTCCCTCTCCTCCACGATCCCACCTATTTTTTCCCTTCTTTCGAAGATTCCTGAGTTGAGGGAGACCTGAGATTCGAATTCCTGAACAATATGACACACTCACCCTGCAGCAGCGACGGATCAGTCGGCACAGCCTGCAGCTCTGAATCAAACCTGAGCCTCTCTGTGGGTTATTTCCCCTGGGACGACACCGTCTCTTATGAGAACGCCACCTCCTGTGAACACGTGTCTCCCAAGGGTCCTTCAACCCTTGTCCCTCCTATCCAAGGGACGTGGAGGACTGAGAGTACAGACAGACTCCTGAGGAGACGAGACCAAATTCGGGACGACCCAAAGCAGTTCTGCAAACTCAGCATCACCCTGGCCTGGGATGTTGACATAGGCTCTAACAATTCAGACTCCACAGCTAGTTGGGACATAACTGGAAGGCATCAGTGGATAGACAAGTACCCTGAAGAGAACACACAACCGACTCTCAGCAAACTGGACAGTCTAGTGCAAAAGCTTGAGAAATTTCTAGAAAATCAGAAAGACGAGGAAGGTGGTGACTCTGCCTTCCCTGGATCTGCTCAGGAGGAAGATTTCCAGTTGTGCAGCAGCTCCCCTCCACACATAGCTCAGGTCAGTCATCAAGAACATGATAGTTGTCAGGACTTGCCCCACGCCTGCCAACATAAAGGGATCATCCAGTTTCCACAGATTCCTCCAAGACTTCGGGAACATGAACTTGCTGAGGTGAGCAGAGAGATGCCTCACAGGCAAAAAGGGGCTGGACCTGGTTGGGGGGGGGGAGCAGTTTGAAATGCATGGAGCATTACTCCCTGCTCTGAAGCAAGGCCAGCCTCCCTCAGTGTCTGACTCAGCCCGGAGAGGGAGAGAGAAGGCAAGGAAAGGGGTCAGGGTAGAGTTGAAGGGAAAATACTGAGGAGCACTGAAGGAGGAAAGAGGGGAGGGAAGTTAAGAAAAGACTAACAGTTATGATACCCATCCCACCCCCTGGCCCTGTGTGTTTTGTTGACGTATTAAAATTTTGCATTTATAGTTGGATTATTTTTGACAAGGATTTGAATTCGGTAAGTGGGTAAATATTGGCCCCATTGTTGTCTGGGTTATGCGTATTTAACTCCTTCATTTTCTTGGCAGATGATAAGCCAGACAACTGGCAGCCAAAGGACAAGCGCTACAGAGACCTCCTCAGTCTCATCGGGCCAGCCGGAGGAGGGGGACGCTCATTCTAGCACACGGGCCCTCTCCTGTGTGAACTTCAGGGGGGTCTTCCGCTGGCTAAGGCAGCAAGTCCTCACCTCGCTTCTCAGGAGACCACACCCCGAGGAGGCCACTGAGAGCCCCCAACAGCTGGCACAAAAGAAAAGACTCTCTCACAGAGGCAAGCGAATCCAACCTCAAATGCCCTCGAGTTAAGACACCCTCTATCGCCAGATGTTTTAACCTTTTGATAGCCCCTATTCTACAATCCCCATGAGTTGTTTTCTAATAAATATAACACATACTCTTACTATCCACGTCTTCCTCTTCTAGCCCACCATCGTGACGCAGGCTGAAAGTCTGTATGTCGTCTAGAAGACTGACGAATATTCTCTGCGAATTTTAAGAAGTATTGTCCTTCCTAATTTGAAGGCATTCTTGCTCTCCTCCTCCCTTCTTACTGTATTTTACTCTATTTTTATATATTTTCATCTTAATATTAACCCAAATGCCCATTTTCAGAAGGCAGCAGTATAACCCATCAGAGTCCCAAGATGGTAGTATGGTTTGGGTTGAACTTCTAGGGCTCGAACAACTGGCAGAGTCACTGAAGTGACAGAGTCACTTCCTGAGTCACTCAGGAAGCGGATTTCAGTTTGGCCGTGTTTCAGGAGTTCAGACGGCGGATCTGATGTTCCCAGGGGACCTGACTGGTTCGAGTGTGCGCTGCATTGGCTAGAATAAGTGGCTCGCTCAGGAGGTATGTGAGGACTGGGAGTCTACTTAACCACTCCAAGTCTAACCCTTCTCGTTCAGAAGATGGGGAAGATAATATGAACCTCACAGGGCTGTTGCGAGAACGAGTGAGATAATGGTAATTTCGTTGTTGCTGCCGCTATTCATTTTCCAGAGGATCTCCCCAGAAAACTCGACCCCAGGGGCATCCCAGAGTGAGAGCTTAAGAGTAATTCTCACTGAAACATCTCCCACACAGAAGCAATATTTACCCAAAGTTATGGGTATCTGCAGATCTTGACTCAAGCAATCCTCTCCCAGTCCATTCCCCACTGTGTCTTCTGAAATTCCTTTACAATTGGCAGTAAACTTTCCTCTTAATTTCAACTTCTTTAAGGAAGACTGCACTCATCTCTCACCCTTTTGCTCTGACCTCTCCCTTTTACTGAGATCAACTCCCTTTCCCACGACCACTACCACTCTCATTTACCCACCCACAGGCTTACCCAAGAGCCCTCCTTCTTCAGCTTTTGCTACCAGCCTACATGACCTGCAGAGTTCATGTGCCTAAAGCATGGGATTCTTTGGTCTCAAATTCCTCCCTTTCTTCAATTTCAATTCCCTTTTCTCCTTTCTTCTCTTTTTCCTTCCTTCCACAAATATTTAGCACATAGAAGTGCCAAGTACTTTTCCAACTTACAAAAACAAAATCCATCCTTGGGGCTCAGGCAGCTCATTAGTCAAGAGATAAAGCCATGTAAACATATGACTAGAACAGGTTACAGGTGATAGTCTGTATGAGGTACACACTGAGTCCTAAAAAATAATCAATTCAACACGAGGAGGTGGATTGTTAAAAGTTTCATGTCTGAGGTTGCTTGAGTTAAAGGTGGAGGACTTGAAGCTGCTGGATAAATCGGTGTGGTGTTAAATTGTGCAGTCCTGACTGGTTACGTGTGAGAGACAGTGGGGATGATATTTCCCAAGGAATGACAGTATGATGGGAGGGAAAAAAAATCAAACAACAGGGCCTTCTTAGCAATATATGCTCATGGTCACGTCCTGAGCTTCTTCACAGACAGACTCCTCACTTTATCCAACTCTCTGAGAACAGCTTCCCATTTGACTGGCTCCCTCCAATGCCCTCCTCCACTTGCACTTCTCTTTGACTTCACCAAGACTTTGAGTCCCATTACCGGCCCCTGTTCATGGGTTTCGGTCCCTTCCCTCCAGATCCGACCCAGGCACCTCCTCTCCCAACTACAGCATATCCACCACATCTAGTAGCATTCACAAAGCCTTGCCCTTTCCAGATCTTATACTCACCACATTCCCCAACAGTAAGGGCCAACACACGAAACACAGGGATTACTTTCTCCATTTTTGGAGAATTCCCCCCACTGCCTTTTCAAGTCCCCCCCCCCCACACACATACACACTCCCTGGGGAATTTTTCCTTAAAGACTCTACTCTGGAGTTACTATGAGGCCAAGGACTATCCTTCCAGCTAAAATTGACCACATCCTTCCTTAAGCCATCCCCCAGTCCCCATCCTGCCACCCTCACCCCGTGACTTGTACTTTTCAGTTTCTTCATGTAACTATTTTGCCTACAGACTAACTTCTTAGTGCCTTTTTACGGCAGGATCCTAACACAGTGTCTGGTATGGAGTGGTCTGGCTATATGAATTTTTAAAATGATTTTAATATATCTTATTTCTTTCAACTTTTTCCTATATAATTTTTTAAAAAGTGAAATACAACAGCTTAGATTTGCTATTCTTGAAGTTAAAAGTTAGGGCGGACAGAGTTAAGAGCAGGCGTGGGAGTAGAAAGAGGGGAGGCAGGAAGAAAACAGAAATCCATGGAAGGTCAAGAGAGGCGATGACCCACAGGCTGAGAAACATAACACCCGGGGAAGTTAGCGACTAATTTGAAATGTTAATTCAACAAACATACATGGAGCCTTAATGTTGCTTTAGACTAGATGTATGACATGCCTAAAAGATGACATCTCCTAACACCATGGCACTAGTAACCAGAGCTCTGTTATTTTAACTTTTTCCCTAATAATTAAGCCAAGCTCTAAGAAAAACTCAACCAAAATGAGCTACCTCAAAAGATGGCCCATGGTGAATAAGAAGCCCTGTTCATTAGCAAGATTTCTTACATAGCGGTGCTTATTTTTCAGTGTTATATAAACCTGCTTGATGGGTATGAGGTTTAGCTCTAAAGTTCAAACAATGTCTTTTATAAGCCTTTACCATAACAAATATTCTCTGTAAAGAATTAGAATTTGAAATTTCTTTAGGGTTATCATGCTACATCTCAGAAAGCAAGTCAAAGTGCTTAAAAATAGGAACGATTTCAATACCTCCTCATTCATTATTGTGTCAAATATGCTATGAGGCTATTAGCTACACGCTGAACTATGACCAGGTTCTCCGCTTTTTTCCCACATACATGGGGCTGGGGTTGGAGGAGGCCCACTATACATCAAAAGGACTGAGAGCAAAACGGAAGTGGTCACTGAAAGATCCTATCTTTGCTGTAACCTTAAGCATCGAATGCAAACACATGCAAATCGAATTAACCAATACATTCTGGGACTCCCATTATCTCAATACACAAAACTAAAACCATTCCTTCAAGTCAACTGCTCAACCTTGAAACCCATAAAGCTCAGCTACTCGAACTAGCAAAGTATTACCTTAAATATTCATATTCTAGAATCTATAACATCATAATGAGCCAGAATACAGTGAAAACTTATCAAGCAAACGTAGAGAGTATTCACCTTTCTCCACACACAGAATCAGATAGACGAATGTAAATTTTAGAGCCCGCCCCATGTCAATTTCTTACTCAGTAGGATCTCAATGAGAGAAAAAAGTGTGTGTACCATACCAGCAAAACAAAGGCAAAATCATTTTCTTCAGACTTAACGTAATGTGAAAGTTCATGGCTCCCGAGGATACAGAGGTCTAGATCTACCTGGTCACAAAAACCGTGTCCAAAATCCTCTTATCAAACAATGAAAGGAAAAATGAAACAAATTATAAACGAATTCCTAAGACTGCCTGGTAGGGTTTTCACCCCAAGAGTTAAGAATGGTTTTGTTTCGGCAGAAGGGATAGCTAACTCCTTCAAAAATAAGTCTTTTCATTATGAGTTGCAAGTGGAAGGTCTACTGCATGCAGTGTACTCTCTAATTTCAAGATGGATGAGGAGGCTTTATATTGCACTGCCTGGAGTCAAGCTTTTCCCGCTACCCCCCCACCCCCTCATCCCCCAACAAAGAGAACAACACCCTGCTTTCACAAAAGTGAAAGAAGATCCTCATCAGATAACACCCAATCACTCAGCGAGCCAGTCATGAGTCAGGCGGGTACAAAAGCCTTAAGATGAATTCCCAAAAGGATTATAAACCTAGATCAAGAAATTCCCCTACTAAACAATTTGTTGACTAATCCACCTTTCAGAGGAATTCCATGGTTTTGATGCCCTTTGGATTTCAATCTACTATGCTTCCCAAGGAAATATTTCTGAGGCATTTTCAAATGGGAGGGTACACATCAAATATCTATTCAGATTATGGCTGCTTAATGAAAACTCATTACTGAATTCTCTTGGTCTAGAAGGAAATCACAATGGCAATTTAACTTAATTTGTCCTCATCTGTATCAATAAAGATTGATTATTTTAAGTGCAAATCCCCACAACTAAACAGATCTCCCTCTCCTCACAGAACTTTCCCATGCACCCACTCACAAAGGAAAACAATGACGAGTTCAAGTTCATCGTTAATACAGGCTTGGAAAGTTGTTTTTATGTTTCCCTTTCATCACCTCCACTGCCCCTCTGTCTCTGGGGCCTAGGTTTTACCCAAACAGGCATGGGATGAAAAGGAGAATTTTTCTCCAGCAAAGTGACCACAAATTAAGTTAGTACCCTATCACAACCACCACCATAACAACAGATGCACATAAGAATCAAAAAAGAATGCTAACCCACTTGCTGTGATGCGCACCGAGTGTTATATGGAAGCGCTGAATCACTACATTGTACACCTGAAACTAATATTACCCTGTATGTTAACTAGAATTTAAATAACAACTTTAAAAAAATTAAATGCTAAAACCATTGGGTGAATGGGCTCTTAGAGAACAAGACACGTATATGGTCTCGGGGAACTACCTGGCAGACTATTTATTAGTTATCACAGGGATTAGGTACCTTTACAATGGAGAGAACTGGTGAACACCAGCTTAACTAACCAAATGATTCAATTCAGCCGAACCAACATCATGCATGTACCTTCTGTTAGCACTGTGTGTTTACCCTGAATCTCAATCTCATCATGAGGAATCCAACAGTCAGATGAATCCAGAATATAAGAAATTCTTCTAGACAACCGCCTGAGACTTTTCAAACATGTTAACACCATGAAATACCAAGTAAGAGAAAAAAGTCAAGGAGACCAGACAATTCACAAAGGAGACCAAAGAGACATGACGACCAATTGCTATTGATAATCCTTCAATGAATCGTTCA